TCGAGTGTGAAAGTTCCCCAACGGTGTCTCAGGCAGCTGTGCTTCTCCAAAATCTAATCAAATGCTCCAAGAAATGCATTCTTTACTTCAGAAACCTCAGGAATCCCACACCATCAGCCTCTCTCTATAGTACTCTGAAGTACATTAGCTTTTTAGTCTCTGAGAAGTTAGGCATAAAAGAGCTCCTTACCTTGATGTTTTCAATTCTTGATCAACTAAACAAACCAAAAAAAAATTAAGTATTTTTGTTAAAATACCAGTTCACCTGTAGAAGATGAACAAAAGCACTTATTCCAATGACAATTTTAAGAAAACTCACCATATCACAAGCTGAACTGGGTTTTCACATTTTAAGGAATGTTTTCATATTCTATCACCTCCCTAAACAAATTATGTCCCTGCTGCTGCTTTCCTTCCCCCTTGTGGAGTAGAAGGCCCTTCCAGGTAAGTATGTGGCCCTGGGTATCCACAATGACGCTGTCCAGCATCCATGTATGGAAGGCAGAAAGCTATTCAGGACTCATTTCATTGCCAATGACAAAAGCAAGGTCAAACTAGGATGAGAAAACAGGCATTTATGAAAAGGACCAGGGGAAGCTCATGGTTCTAGACAGGCTGGACAGCCTGCTGAACAGTGCTGAACCAGCCCACCCAGGCAATCAGGCAGGGCCCTGATGGAAATGTGTGGAATTCCAAGATGGCGCCTCAGAGAGAAGACTGCTCCCTGCCTGGTTCTGCCAAAAAGGCACTGCTTTGGGCTCGAGAACTGGCAAGTGCCTTACAGGGTCTCACCTAAGTGACTCCTTTGGAGTTCTCTGCTCCCTTCACTGCCTTCATCACACTAGGAAGCACATGGACTCCGGCAAGGACAGGTTCTGTACATCCAGGGGTTGGGGAGTTACAAGGACTCATCTCTCTGGACTCTGCTCTCCTCCTTTTCTGGTCTACTTGTTTCCTCCCGCATGCCGCCTTTGGTCTTCGAATGTCCAGTTCTCATAGCTTTACAACTAGGGAAGAAAAGCGAGTACTCCTTGTTTAAAAAACAGAGGGGAGCCTGGAGTTGGTCTGCAGCATAGCCTTGGCTCTCCTAGACCTTAAGGCCACCACTGGGGCTGTGTCCCACCATCAGCAGCCCATATTCGGACCACACAGTTGGAGCGGGGAAGCAATGGCTCCCTGAAGGAAAAGCAGGCTGTGCCTGGAAACAGTGGAAGGATGCAGGATTGACACGCCAGGCGTGCATGTCTACCTTAGATGGAAAGCAAGGGCTGCTGACTCGGGGGAAAGAACCACAACCATCCACCCTTGATCCCCTTTGAAGCCAGCCAAAGCCAGGCACATTGTTCTGGACAAAACATGCTATGTGCTCAGGTGCTGTCCTTGCATTCTGTATATAGCCTGTGTCAGCTTCCCCTGGGGGGAAAGCACAGGAGCTAATTGCTTCAGTGGTTCATCACCTCACTGGCGATTCTGCCTCTAATCTGCTCATTATGCTACTTAGGTCTTTCAGTAAGTGGGGAGAAATTGTGTTATCACAGGAGAAATGAGCTCTCTTGTTGAGAAATTCTTTTATGCCTAGACAAAGGAGTTTTAAGTCTATCAGCTTCCCCTTTCTGTTGCTACATTCTGAACGATGTATTAATCATGGGTTAATTATACAAATCAATTAAAGATGTTTTACTGGTGGGTTAATTTAATTGAGTCTCTGGTAAGCCTTCATATTTATTTAGACCTTCTGGTTAATAACTATGGGACGCACGCACTTCCCTGTTGAGCTCCTTCTAAAGTTTTTCATCTATCTGCCTCTCTGTCTGCACAGTAAGGCCCATCCTGCCACCCACCCATGCTTCAGTCAATCCACGTACATTGCTCTCCACTTGCCAACAAAGCTTTTTCAATCTGGCGGCCTTGCCCACGTAGATTCCTATGATCAAAGTCACGCCAAGGCCTGTGATCACTCAGTTCAATGGGAACCACAACCCAAGGTTCTCCTTCGTGGGGAAACGGGGGGATCTGGTCTCTGGCAGCCGCACTGCATTATCTGCTAGACTGACCGCAAGTGAGAACCCTCCAGGAGCAGAACAAACCCACAGTTCAGAAGCATAGCAGTTACATCAGGGACCGCGCTCGGAGAGTCACTGAATGAAGGGCGTCATCCACACTAACTTCTCCGCCCGGCAAATCGACCACAGGCGTTCAGAGACTGACTCCAGCCCACAAGGCCTGCAGGACGCTGCATTCCTGCTCTCCTGACACAGCCCTGGGCTCCTATCTCTGAACATCTCTCCCGACCCCATCTCCAGAGTCCGGTCAGGTCTGCAGTGCAGAGCAGGGAGGGAAAAAGTAAAGTCCCTGGAGAATGAGCTCTTCACGCATTTTAAAAAATAAAACTCGATTTTCATGCACACTTGTGTTCCATGGAAACTGTGGGCCCCTAGGCTAAGCACATTCCCGTTCCCCACCAGGTTGCTCCCACCTCTCCTTCCTGGACAAACTCTCCCAGCAGTTGTGGTAACTTTCTTGTTTATTTTAAAATATCCATTTCTTGATGAAAAATTTGTGACATGTGTGCACTCAGAACAGGCGGAGCCAGGACCCGTATTTTATAATATATGTAGCTTCTTTTATGTATTTTTGAAGGTTTTAGTTCTTCCCAACAACCGCATTTCCTCCATAAAATATAAACATTTGCTATCCCCAAGAAATTATTTTTAGAACAAGATCTTTCATTCCAGCATCTGAGCAATTTTTTTCCTTTCAGGATAAAAAAAATCAACATTCAGCTATGAATATTCCAGGGATTTGCCTCCATCCTGAGTACCAATCTGCAGGGCCTAGCAATAAGTATCGTCTCCTGGGAAACAGGAGCATGGTAGAAAGTTCAAGTGCTGCAGTGTGCAGAGCAGTGAGGACAGTGGGACAGGGCACTGCTGTGAACCAGGGCACTCAAACTCCAGGGGTCAGAGGAGGCTTCCAAGAGATGCTGACTCCATCGTGAGGTTCAAGCAGCGCACAGGAGTTCATCAAATACATGAAGCATGGGGAGCAAGGGAAGCGAGCAGACCGGGAGCTGAGTGATGCAGGTGGGAGTTCAGACATCCAAGCAGAGAGATCGCCAAGTAAACCAAAGCGGAGCAGGGTGGAGGAAAGAGGGGAGGAGCGCACTGCACGAGACTGAAGAAGAGGACCCTGGCAGGAGCACAGAGAGAGGCAAACGGGGCCGTTTCTGGATGAACTTTGAGAGCCACATGAGATCCAATGCGCTAACCCCTTAAAAACCTCCTGGCAGGTTTGATCTCTGCACCCCGTGGGGAACGGATGGAGAAGGTAAGAATGGAGAGAAGGCTGCCAGCTTGGCAGCTGTGGCAGCAACGCACAGTGTGAGCGAGGCCAGAGTGGATGCAAAGCAGCCGCCGTGGTGACTGAGTGGGATGGGAGAGGAGTGGGGGAGCAAGAGGAGAAAGAGCCAAAGGCAACCCCACTTCCCTGAGTCATTCACCGCGCTGGGACCGCAAGAAAACGAGGCAACCTTGAGGAAGACCGTGGTGTGGGACTGCTGAGTCCACTCACAGGAATAAACGCGTGGAGCCCACGCACCACAGTGAGCCCCACGGCACGGGCCAGGTCATGATGCGGTGGCCGTCTGGGTGACCCCAGCTGCAAACGCAGCCCACCCTGCAAGTCCATCCCCAGTTGGCTTCAGCTCTGCCCATGCCTTCGCTTCACTCTGGGTCCAGGTGGGCAGGGACACCTCGGTCTGGAGCACTGTTACCCAGCAGAGAGGACTCCAAGGACACAGCTTCACTTTAGCTCCCACGGCCTTGGTTCCAAGGAGTCCCGGGGTTATCTGAGGTGCACAAATCCGGCAGTGGGAGGGGCCCTGGGAAGTGTGCCGGAAGAGCTGCGTGATTACCACACGCAGGAGAGCTGGCTTAGAAACCCGTTCCCAGTGCCAACTCAGAATAAGCACCGACTTTTCCCAGCCTGAGCTGGTGCAGCTGTACCTAGGTCAGCGCCGTGGGGTGCTTGCTCAGGAGAGGCCAGTGGAAAGATGCAATGGTCACACAGCACCAGGTTCAGGTCCTACATCAAACCAGAGCTGCGTGACCTGTACCCGAGTGGATCTGAGTTTCCTCATCTGCCCAATGATGGTGTTAACATGGAGGCTTTTACAATGTTCCTTCTAGCTCTAAAATCCAGTGGCCCTGCCTTTACTCCCATGGCTTACACATTAGATTCTCTGGCCCTTTACCTTCTCTGCTTCGAGGGCAAGGTCTCTATTTGCTCCATTTGTCACTGCTCTGAGAAGGTCTGCCGCCTCTACCTCCCCTGCCTGCTCTGTGGCACTGGGATCTAAAGGCTTGCGCTGGGCCGACTTCTAATTCTCCCTGTGGGAAGGCTCCATGGCCCTTCAGCTCTGGCTTGCTGTCCTGTGCAATCAGGAGGGAGCCCAGAGGCTGGGCATCTGGTCCCTGCCGCTAGTCCCACGTTGTCGTGTTTCACTCAGCCCACTTCCATCTCGGCTGACTGAGCAGGGGTGGCTGCCACTGGCCCCACTTCAATTTTAATTGCTACCCCTTGGTGTGCCTCTGGCGAGCAGTGATGCATTATACTTCCAGGTGCCCGGGGCTGCACCTCTTACCAAGATACGGTCAGCTGAAAATCATCATTTTTCCAGCTGAGTCTGATGCCGACGTGACTACATACCTATTACCAAGCTTGTGTAACTAAAAACAATGATTTCATACATACACAAAAACTGTCATCTCAGTGAAAAAAATATTAAGATGAGAAATTCAAGAAGGCACTGAATAGAAAGAAAACTGCACAGAAGATGGGGTGGGCTGAGAGGGGAGAGAGGAGACTGAGAAGTCCTCCAAGAACTGCACTGGCGAAGTTAGTCTTAGGGTGTAATTCATTCTACGGGTTAACCTGCTTGATTAAGGAAATGGCATTGTGTTTGCGTAAATGTGGAAACACCTCTAACAGCATCCACCTACCAGGTCTGTTTCCAGTTCACCTCTGAGGGTAGGCACATTGACGTAGGACTACAGAACACGGTGTGCGCCCCTGCGATGCTCCCAGCGATCTCTGCCTCCTGAGATTCATTCACCCTCCTCTGAGTCTTGGTCAGGACTTGCCTGTAATGTACGGAAGACGGCAAAGGTGACAGGGTGCCATTTCCATAACTATTTACCCAAGACCCTAACCCTCCCATCTTGCTAGTAGACTCTGTCCTTGACTTGCACTGAGGAAACAAATCATCATATGCACCCTGCCCTGTGGGGAGAGCCTCATAGCAAGGAGCTGAAGGTAGCTTCTGTCTGATAGGCAGCAGGAAATGAGGCTGTCAAAGTCAATCAGCGGGTTGTAGGTCCACTGAGAGACAGCTTGAAAGAAGACCCTGCCCTAGTGGAGAATTCTGACGGCACTGAAGCCCTAGCCAACCTTCATTACAGCCTGAAGAGAAATCCTGAGTCTCCAGCTAAACCGTGCCCGTTGCTGATCTATACACACTGGGAGATCAAAAGTGCATATTATGTTAAGCCCTCAAGTTTGTGATCATTTGTTACAACAGCAATGGAAAACTAACATAGATCCTCTAGTGAGCTTTAAAGGGATGCTGGTAAAGGCGCTTTCATGTATCTTACAGTCGTCGGGGCTGGAAAGGAGGGGGTGGCTGTGAACTTTCAGGCCAAAAGCTTGCCTATAACACAGACTGATTATGGCTTCATGCGTATGCACACATCTTTGCTCTACCACGATAAGACTAGCATAGCCTTACCCACTAAAATTACTGACAAAGACTGGGATAATCTCATTCTTTCTATTAAAAAGAAAATGGCACTATTTGTAAGTGTGGAATATTTTCACTTGACTCAAAGCCTGAATCCCAAACTCTCAGTTATATTGTGGCTTTCATACCTTCAATGTGTATAGAAAGGACATATCTGACAAATAATTTTCCCATCCCTCTAGCACATACTATAGATCAGGGAATTTTTGAATTCTATTATAAAAGAGAGGTACTTCAATATCTAGAAACTGTTTGCCGAGAGAATATCTCAAACATGGGGTCCTCAGTATTACCTGAGGAAAGGATGAATCCACATCCATGCTTGTAAAACATAACAGCCAGAAAATCAAATGCAGTTAGAGAGAGGAGCGACAATGTACACTGTGAGTCAGGGGCTGGGTGTGGTCCGCTCACGCTGGAATGACTGGCTCCAGACCCCTTCAGGGAGGCCAGGGGAGTAACACAGGAGACCTCAGGGGAGCAAGGGAGAGAGGGCTTGGGGATGCGGGGCCTGAGGACTGGCACCTGAATGACTGCTCTGCAGAAGCCTTCGGATGATGCCTCTGTGCAGTCCCAGGGGGGCAGGAGCAAGAAGCACGAGTGGGGTCTGAGATGCTGTGTTTTGAAAACTCAGAAAGGCAGCAAAGATGTTTCAATCCACACCAAATGCCTCTTCCCTAACCTGAAACAAAGTTTTAATAGAATAAAAAGGACTCCCCAATTATACTATGAAGGGCAGTGTAGCTGTTGAGCTTAATTGTAACTCCATTGCTTTGGAGCCACCCGGGGGATTGATTAGCACACTTCTGGGTAGGTCTGGGTGAGTCACAGGGCTTGTCCTTGGGGTCTGTGTCTGGTTGAGGGTTCCTTCCTCTCTGGCTCTGTTCCCCATTCTGCCTCTCAGTGCCCATGAACTGAGCAACCTTGCCTGCCACCCATGTCCACCATGATGTTTCTGCCATGGAGGCAGCTGGCCATGGACCAAACCTCTGAAACCATGAGCCCAATAAACCACCTCCTCCTTTAAGTCATGGGTGTCAGATATTTGGACCCAGCAATGGGAACCCTTACTAGTACAGACAGTATTGTCGCAAAGCAGTGGCTGTGTTATTACATAAGTGATAAAGAATGATGTCACTAGATGGACAAATAGTGAAAGCGCACTGGAGCAGGTATGTGGTGCTGGTGCTAAGATTTGGATAGGACCCCCAAAGGCCCTATGCTTCAGGCTTGGTCCTCAGCTTCTGGCACCATGGGAAGATGGGGTCTGGTTGGAGGCATTCTCATCATACGAGTGTGTGCCCTCCAGGGGGCATTTAGGCCCTGGTTCATACTCTGCCTCTCTCTGTCTCTGTCTCTCCCTCCCGCCACTTTTCTCCTCCTGCAGCACCCTGAGGTGAGCCAGTTGTTCCACAAGGTGCTCTCTGCATGACAACTGCCTCAACACAGGCCCAAAGCAAAGGGCCAGCTGACCATGGTCTGGAAGCTGCAAAACTGCAAGCCAAATGAACCCCTCCTTATTGTAAGCCTGATTATCTTAGGCATTGCTGCAGTAATGGAAAGCTGACTGACAGAGTCAGTGACTTAAATATACCAAGACAGGCAGTGGCATTGGTAATGGGATTTTTCATTTTAAGCTGGATTCATAAAAGAAATCTTGCTAAAATTTTAAATAAATAATATAGTACAATGTTCTTGGATTTACCCAGGAGCTGCACTGAACGGTAAAGTGTGTAGTAAACCCCTGGGGGAAATATTTTATACTTGATACATAAGTTGAAGTCAAGCTCAAGGCTTAGGCAGGCATAAACTTGCATGATTTTTTTTTGTACTTGCAGAATAAGATTCTGAGAGACATCTAGAAGTCTTACAGGAACCAGAACTCCTTAGTGTGTGGGATGATCCAGGATATTCAGAACCTTTAGCACCCCCAAACCCTACTATTGAATGCAAGCCACTACACCTTTGAGAATTGCAACAACCAACAGCAGCCCCACAGTTTCCTGATGTTCCCTCCAGGGAATACTCCCATCCTTGAAGACGAATCCTACAGGATCCCCTGGTCAAGGGGAGGATGAAGTCTCCTCTCACATGTGTCCTGGGAGAGGCAACAAGAATGACACAGGCGGGATGTGGACTCGGGTGTGGTGCAGGGAACAGGATCACCAGCAAATGCTCCTCTATCCAGAGTTCCGATTTACAGTAGCATGACTCCATAATGAGCCAGACCCAGGTTCCAGCTCCACGGACTGTGCACATAGGTCCGCTCTCATTCTTCACTACGGGGAAACACACAGACTGTACTTAGCGACCCGGAGCTTTCAACTCTTCTGTTGCATCTGTAGCGAGACTTATTTCCACATTGACCTCGAGATTCAGAGCACAGGAGAGAGCTAGGCTGGATCCCAGCACACCTCCTTGCAGAAGTACATGCTTTGGTGCATCATTTATTCTCATGCTCGAGGTCCTGTCTGAGGAGCCCTGGAACCCCATGCTCATTTCAAATAGGTTCATGGAGCTTCTGGTCTTATGCTTGCCTGAAATCTGATTACACTTCCATCCCATGATTCAAATGCTATTCTATATTGGGCCCTTCCATGATATCAACAGACCCGATGACTGCTTCCTCCTTTTCTTAGAGAAGCATTTAGAGCACAAACAGTAAGTCTGACTCAGGTTGAAACCCCAGTGCAGCGGCCTTCCATCTCCTGAGTACATTTCCTAGCTTCCCCTAACTTCAGTCTCCTCTTCTGTAAGATAAGGACATTAGCATTTATCTCATACCATCATTTTGGAAATAAAAGATAATTCATACAAATCCCTATAACACCATCTCAATATCTGGCTCCTAGGAGCTCAGACACATGGTGAGTGATGATGCTACTTTACTTATTACTTCTGTTACCTCTACACTGGCCTGCTCGTAACTACTCTTACTGCTATTACTCTTGCTAGGAGGGCAGCTATGCAGCATAGTGACCGAACACATCAGAAGTCCCTGGTTTTGCCACTACAAGCTGTGTGCTCTTGTGATGATTTTAATGCCCGGTGTCAATGTTTAACACCCCCACCACCACATGTGCACTCTGCTCCTCCAATTTGGCAACACCAAGACATCACATTCGCTGGGAGATGTTGCTTTGAAAAGTACCAGGTAGCTGCTTTCACTAGCTGTTAACATAAGCCTTTATTACCAGATAATCATAGACAAATGATGGTCTTGGTAAATATTTGGATAGTAACCATAAAAATGGAAAGTGGCCCTGACATACACAGATACCTGGAATGTGAGGAGAGAGAGATTTCCTGCGGCAGACAAGGCCTGGAGCCTAGATTTCCAGGAAGCTGTCATCACCGAGCAATAACCCTTGGTTATTGTCCTTGCCTGGACCCAGAAATCCTGCACAAATCCAAGCTTCCAAGAAGATTCTGCTTTCTGATCCAAATTATTATCTTTGCTGCATCTCTTATCTTACTGCTAAAGCAAGATTCAAGAGATTACGGGAAATAAACACTCATCTTCCTGTTGGGAGTCAATGCATTAATAATTAAGTTTGGGTACAAATTTATGGTTTTTTGTAACCTTTGCTGAAAATTAACATGGTTTTCCACTTGCAACATACAGCTTCTCCCCAGGAGCTGGCTTCCTAGGGAAAATAAGCTAATATTTTTCAGCAGCTATTGAAAGCAAAAACCAGGCTGGTGTAAGATGTGCGTGCTTCTGCATTCCCATTTCCCCTTGCACAAAAAGCATCAACTGGATGAAATGCTAGCTATTCGGTTGGTCTTTCCCTCAGGACTGCAAGCCATTTGGAGCTCAGTCACACTTAGAAAGCCGATATTGACTACGTGTAGAAATATCTGGAATGAGATGTTTCCCCACTGACATCTTTCATTCATAATTACCGCGAAGTCTGTCTGCCCAGGGGCAGTCAATGGTCAGTCAATATTCCCATCACCAGCTGGAAGAGGGTGAACCGCTGGGGCAGGAACACAAAGCAGACTACTCAGTGGCCCCAGGCCCTCACATCCAGGCATCAGAGCTGGCTGGAGAGGGCCTTGAGACCCCTGAGTTGGCTGTGTGGGGAGCACCATGCTATGTTTTCCTGTCATCTGGGCTCCATGGGACCAGAACTAGGTTTCTTCACAGTGACACAAGGTTTGTGCATGGCCTCTGTCGAGTGTGACCTTCTGCAGAGGAGTGAACCATTTTCCCCGGAGAGATAAAGCTGCCAGCTTGTTGCAGTGACTTCTGCACTCAGGCGGCGATTTCTACTTTGTCATAGAACATGTTTGAAATGGGCATGGGTAGCACAGTCGCTCCCACCCAGTCTGTCATCAGTGA